CTCCCGCTGCAGCGCTGGCCTCATTTCCGTGCTTCCGCTCGTTCCGAATCGTGCTCCCGCTGCAGCGCTGGCCTCATTTCCACGCTTCCGCTCGTTCCGAATCGTGCTCCCGCTGCAGCGCTGGCGTCATTTCCCGTGCCATGCCACGGCATGCAATGGAATGCTAGGTTGCGTTCCGCTGCGCGATGCCATGCCTTCAGCCGAAGCTGTGATATGCAGTGCTTAAGTGCCACGTCGTGCTATACCATGCTACGCTTTGATCTTCAACGCCATGCTATGCAATGTTATGTTCGGGGCCGCTGTGCGATGCCATGCTTTGCGTTGCAAAGCTTTGTGATGCAATTCTTCACTACGCCACGCCACGCCATGCTGTGACATACTACGCTTTGCGGTGCTCTTCTACGCCATGCCATGCCGTGCTCTACAATGCATCGCGTACCCTTTCGGGATCATTGCCCTGCTCGACATCCGACTGTGCGAGTTGAGAGGGGATCTACGCCATGGTAAGGGATGGGAGGGAGGGGTAGGATGTCAGATATGACGCGAGCGCACCTAGCTTGTCCTCCTCCTCCTCTTCCTCCTCCTTCCCCTCCTCCTCCTCCTCCGCCCGCCCCCTCCTCCTCTTCCTCCTCTTCCCCTCTTCCTCCTCCTCCTTCCCCTCCTCCTCTTCCTCCTCCTCCTCCTCCTCCCCCTAGCTTGTCCTCCTCCTCCTCCTCCTCCACCTCCTTCCCCTCCTCCTCCTACTCCGCCCGCCTCGCCTCCAGGGTGCCCTGGGTTTCTTGGGTTTCGGCGGCTCTGCCATGGAAGGCGCGACGCTCCCGCACCGGCAATCCATGGGACGCCCTGGGGTCTCAGGGTTGGGCTCCCCGTGGAAGGCTTCAAGTACATGGTTTTTCTCAGGATCACGGCTAAAAGTACGGTGGCTGCGACGCACGCCGCGCGAGGCGGCTCACGGGCCCCAAGGAGATTGTTTTTTTATCCTCTGGGGGGTAACGCTCGTTACCCGGGCCTCTCCCCCCCCCCCCCCCCCCCCCCCCGTAACGGTACCGCTCGTACGCGGGGGGGGTCTCGGTCTTCCCCTCCAACATGCTGGTGCCCGAAGGCATGCGCACTGTGGTGTGGTGGTCGCAGGCGCACTGTGGGCGCTCGCAGGCCATTGCGGCGCTCGCATGCGCGATGCTGGTGCTTGCGGGCTTTGCGCTTGTACTCGAATCGTCGTCGTCGTCGTCGACGGCGCCCGAAAAACGGCCTCCGGAGTCCGACAAAGGCACAAAAACAACGTCGTCGTCGTCGTCGTCGTCGTCGTCGTCGTCGTCGTCGTCGTCGTCGTCGTCGTCGTCGTCGTCGTCGTCGTCGTCGTCGTCGTCGTCGTCGTCGTCGACGGCGCCCGAAAAACGGCCTCCGGAGTCCGAAAAAGGCGAAAAACGTTGTCGTCGTCGTCGTCGTCGTCGCCATCGTCGTCGTCGACGGCGTCGTCGTCGCGCGCGCGGGCGCGGGCGTGGTGCCGGGACCACGCGGCGGGCTTTGCGCTTGTACTCGAATCGCAAGCCACTGTGGTGCTCTCAGGCAGAGAGTGCTGCTCGCGCGCATACTATGGCGATCGCAGAGCGCCCCTGCCTCGCCATACCCCGCCCAGCCCAAGCGTTACCGTTACCCGGGGGGCACGACCGCCCCCCCCCCCCCCCCGGGTAACGAGCGTTATCGGCCAGAATAAAAAAACAATCTCAAGATGCTTACAGTTCGGGTGCGCGCTGCGTTGCTGCGTCCCCTCATCACGCACTGATCATCTACGATTCTGGTTGCGACATGCCTGCCTGCCTCGCAGGCCTGGCGTGCCACCCGCAGGCGCGCCAGTGCTAAGAGACTGGTTTTTGAATTCAAAAGCGGTCGGGCCTGGTTTTTGAATTCAAAAAAGGATGGGCTCTTGAATTCAGCAGCGGTCGGGCCAGGTTTCTGAACTCAAACAAGGATTGGTTCTAATCCAAAGCCGGCGGGGCCTGGTTTCTGACTTCAAGAAAAGATTGGTGTTTGGATTCCACAGCGGTCGGGCCTCCGCTGTCTCCGTGACCACCGCCTGCGGGATCGATCTTCGGGGACCTGCGGGCGGCGGCTGCGGAAGTGCTCGGGCCCCGGGGGCCCCGGAGCGGCCAGGCAGAGCACCATCCGCGGCCGCGGCCAGCGGAGGCCCCCCGAAGAGCGATCCAGAGGCCGTGGTCACGGATATATCCCCGCCTGGTAAGAAACACAGAGACACGTGAGGGGGGGAGGGGGAGGAGGAGGAGGAGGAGGAGGAGGAGGAGGAGGAGGAGGAGGAGGAGGAGGAGGAGGAGGAGGAGGAGGAGGAGAAGAGGAGGAGGAGGAGGAGGAGGAGGCCCCCCCATCCCTGGCGTGCGGAGCGCGTCCGGGGTCAGAGCTGGCGGCGGCGGCAGGTGGGTCGAGCGCGTATCCACTGCATCCAAGCGGTCCTCCGACAGTTTATGCTTATGCTTCGTGTTCTCCAACTGGGCTTGCCTATCGGAGTCTTATGTTCTAGGCCTCCTAGATAGGGTCCGAGTAGATGTGGTCGGGGGATCGCGCCGCATCGCCGATGCATCGGCGATGCGGCTTGATGTGGAGCACAATTTTCTCCACGCCGACGTCGCAGGTGCATCGCCGACGTCGACGACGCATCGCTGGTGCAACGCCGATGCATCGTCGATACATCGCCGATGCATCGGCGATGCGGCGCGATCCTCCGCCCCCATCTACCCTGACCCCATCTAGGAGGCCTCTATATCTCCATCCCTATAGAGCTGGTCCAATGATTGCTTTATCTTTTGCTCCAAATGGTTGCCACAGCGTCCCCCCTATTTTGTCCAACGCGGGTGTACTGGTTGCAATGGCCTCCTCTGATATTACAATGGCTTCATGTGGTTAATCCAGTGGCGACCCCCCAATCGTCCAACTGTCGTCAAATTCAGAAGGAGAGTAAGAGTAGAGTATAATCGAGTAGAGTAGAAGAGAGGCGAGTAGAGCAGTGTAATTATCGGAGTAGAATAGTTCAGGTTAGAGTAGAGGAGACTAGAGCAGTTGTTTAGAATTGAGCAGAGCGTAGTAGAGCAGAGTAGAGTCGCCGAATCATTAGTAGGAGTAGGAGGAGAGTAGAGTAGATATGAGAGTAGAGGAGACGAGAACCGAGCAGAGTCCAATCGGGGTAGAGTAGAGCAGAGCTGGAGTAGCGAAGAGAAGGGTAGGTTAGGTTAGGATAGGGTTGAGCAGAGTAGAGTAGGAAAGGACAGAGCACGGTAGAGTAGAGTCGAATACAGAGTAGAGTTGGGTATACCAGACTAGATTTGAGTAGGGCAGGGTAGATGATGTTAGAGTTGAGCAGAGTAGAGCAGGGTAGATGATGTTAACATATGACGTATTAGAGTATAGTAGACCAGACCCCATACTGATACATAAAGTACAATAGGGTAGAGCAGGGTAGGCTAGGATAGGGCAGGGAATCGTAGGTAGGGTCGAGTCGAGTAGGGTCCAGGATAGAGTAGAGTCGAGCATCATTGAGTAGAGGGTGGAGTAGAGTCGAGAGACATTGAGTAGAGTAGAGTCGCGCAGCGAGTCGAGCGTAAAAGAGTGGAGTCGAGTAGAGGCGAGCAGAGTGGAGTAGAGTAGAGTAGCGTAGAGGAGAGGAGAATCGACTAGAGTAGAGTAGGAGTAGAATAGGTCAAAGTAGTGTAGGAGTGCTCATTAAGGCAGAGAAGAACAGACACGCATAGAGTACGGTAAACCATGGTAGGCAAGAGCCGAGGCTGATAGCACAGAGTAGGGCAGATGTAGCGTAGAGCAGATAAGAGTCGGGTCTGGATAGTCGGAGGATTACAGTCGAGTAGAGTAGAGCAGAGTAGAGCAGAGCCGGGTAAAGTAGAGTAGAGTGCAGTAGGGTAGCGAAGGGTAGAGTATAATGCAGTAGGGTAGCGAAGGGCAGAGTAGAATGTAGGACAAATGGCCGAGTAGAGCAGAGTATAGAGTAGAGCCGAGCAGAGCAGAGCAGAGTAGAGTAGGCGATCGCATGCGATAATCGAGTAGAGCTGGAGTCTCGTACACTAGATTTTCAGTCGAAACGAGTAGAGTAGGGTTGAGTAGAGTGGAGCACGTTACGGATAGTGTACGGTAGGGTAGGGCAGAGCAGAGAAGAGTAGAACAGAGAAGAGCCGAGCCGAGTAGAGCATGATGGACGGTAGAGTAGAGAGTAGAGTCGGGTCTACCATAGTAGAGTAGAGTAGGGTGTAGTAGAGTCCACCCACGTCCAGTCCAGTCTGTTCCAGTCCAGTATACTTTAGTCCACTCCGCTCCAGTTCATTTCAGTCTTCTGGTCTATTCGGGATTTAGTTAATACAGCTCCTTCTCTGCCCGTTCTCCGCCGCCGCCGCCACGCTCAGCTGCCGCCTGCTGGTCATTGACATCGATTTTTGGTCGTACGCCGCTATGACTCGGCTGCGAGTAGGTGAAAAGGGCGCGCGCCTGTGCTTCCCTCGTAGCGTGCGCATTCTTACACGTCTACTTCCACTTCCCGTAGCTACTGCTTAACGCTTCTTGTTCTTTGTTGTTTAGGTGTTTTGTGTGTGTGTGCTTTCAAGAAAACAAAAAGAGAAGCCGTGCCAATAATGAGCGTTCCAACATTGGGAATGGGGATCAGAGCACCCTAACAAGACACAGTTACATACCATTGGACATGTCAGAATCTATCTGCGCCCTTGCAAATAACCGGTTTGTTCTGGCTGAATTCATTCTTCAGGCGGATCGTGAGCTCGGCGGGCGCTGGGTTGTCGACCCAGACTACGTACGCCAGCAGAATATCGAGCGCAAAATGGAGAAAGAGCTCGCCAAGGAGGAAAATCAGGAGGCCAAGCTGTTTGCGAGCGCGCGCAAGCAGGTTGACGGTGCCCTCGCGAAGGAGAAGATGTACCAGCACCACCGGTCCGCAGTGGAGCACGAAACCCAAGTGAGGCTCGCCGAAGATGCCGACACCCTGCGCAGGGAGGCAATCGCGAACGGTACCTTGTCTGAGGACGATGCCGTGCGGCTGCTGGACATTTCTAGGGAGGACTTTGACAACATTACCAGCGCCCTCGACAGCTTCGCGAAGCTGCCGCCTCAGAATTCATTCGGCCGGCGCTAAATCCGCGGCCCCCTCAAAACCTTGAGACCGCGATTGGCCGCTGCATACCTTGGCTCACAAACATAAGAATGTTCAGCGCAGGGGCAAAGGAGGGAAGGGACGAGGGCAACGAGGATAATCATAATGATGGGAAGGCGGTGAAGGAGAACGATGAAAGGGCGATGATGATGATGATGATGATGATGATGATGATGATGATGATGATGATGATGGTGGTGGTGGTGGTGATGATGATGATGCTGATGATGATGATGATGATGATGATGACGATGATGATGATGATGATGATGATGCTGATGATGATGATGATGATGATGATGATGATGATGATGATGATGATGATGATGATGATGACGGGGTAGGGTAAGGCCGTAACGGTCTGGGAGCGGTGCTCGGCGCAGCCGTCGTACATTAGCATGCGCACAATGGGGCCCCCGGGCCCCCGAAGGAGGGAGGAGGGGAGGTGATCGCACTGAGCACTCAGCGGCTCGGGCCCCTCGCCTCCGAGCCGCGCCCCCGCGAGCGGCTACGCGGGCGGCTCAGCGGCTCGGGCCGTCCGCCCCCGAGCTCGGCGCCCGCGCCTCCCCGCGTGGGGCGCCTCCCCTGCCGCATCCTCCTCAGCGCGGCGGCCCGGCGGGCGCTGGCACCACCCGGAGAGCAATGATGAGTGCGTCGTGCAGACATGGAGAGGGCGCCACTGGTCGACGCTGAGAACTTTACCGGGGGGGGGGAGGGGGGGGGGGTCCCCCCCCCCCCGTGCCCTGTACCCCCTTTCGGGGGGGGCGGACCTCCCCCCTCCCCTCTCTGCGCCGGAGAAAGGAGGGGAGGGGTTCTCGTTGTCCCCTTCGGGCTTGCTCGTGCCGCCCTGGGTCCTCTGGGGCTTCTTGGAGCCTTCATGGTGCTGCCGGGGGCTGTTTGGGCGGCGCTGTTGGGTCGTCTCGCACCCCTCCGGAGGTCCTCTTGGATCGCCTTGGGGCCTCCTCGGGCCGCCTTGGGGATTCTTGGGCAATCTTGAGGCCTGCTCGGCTCTTCCCGTTCCCGTGCTGGATCGATCATTATGACAAGCAAGACCAGCACAAGACCACATCGTGTTTCCCGATGGGTGTGGACCGTCTGGGGCCCCTCCCCGGGCCTGCTGGCGCGTCTCCCTGCCTCCTGTTCCTCCTGCGCAGTCTTGGAGGTTTTCTGAGCCGCCTCCTCGCGGCCTCCAGGGGCCCTCCGTGGGCCACCGGGGATCCGCCTCGGGGGAAGTGGCCTCTCGGACCCACCCCCCGCGGGGGGCCCTGTGGTGTGGATGCGTTTTCTGCGGGGAGGGGATCTTAAACGCCTGGTGACCCTCAGGGGGGTCGGCGGAGATGACCGCCATTTGGGTCGAGGAGAAGCTCGACAACTCGCGCTCGAAGCTGGCCCTCGCCTCCGCCAGGATGCTCGAGGCAATCAAGCACAAGGTGGACACCTTCAAGAACAACCACCTCGACTACGACAACCACCAGTTCCTGGCACTGCTGTCCCGCACCCTGAACGAGACCATGGGCGAGATCAGGACCTTCGAGCAGGCGAAGGACTACCAGATGACCCGTCTGGAGGGATGGGACAAATCCAACGGCGAGAAGCTCACTCTCAGGTTGGCCCAGGCCATCCACGGAGTGACGGGCAGCGTCGAGTTTCGGAGCCACCTCACTCAGATCGACACGGCCCACCTGGCCAACCTGCAGATGAGCGAGGCATGCGGCTACCTCACCAGCACGGTCACCGCCGCCATGGCCCCAGCGTACCAGAGCCTGGCACATCAAAAACAGAAGCTCGACGACATGAGCAAGATCGTGCCGAGCGTCACTGCGAAGTACCCCGCCTTCATCCAGGAGAGGATGGGCGCTCGCGCTTCGGCCCTGCTGAACATGGCCTACATGGAGAATTTGGCGCTCAAGGAGGCCGCCATGAACATCTTGAAGGAGGCTTCGCCGGTCGTCATGGGCCGCCTCCACTGCACCATGCACAGCGCTTCGGCGCGTGCGGGACTCGGCGCTGCCGTGCTCCTCGCAGTCGCGGCCTGGCTGGTGCAGTGAGGGGGTGGCCGCCAGGTTTGCCTCGCTGCCCGCGACTCCCAGCTTTCGTTTCTGGAAGCCACAATGGCTCCCCAGCTCGTCTCCTCCTTCTCCTCCTGCTCCTCCTCCCTCCTCCTCCTCGTCCTCCTCCTCCTCCTCATCCTCCTCATCCTCCTTCTCCTCCTGATAGAGACCAGTTCAGATGAATCACGTATGTGCAACACATCACGTAGGCACTAGCCCAGCTCAAGGGGACTGGGAGATCACCCTGGACGCAAAATAGTTGCACCTGCCCCACACACTATCATTGACTGGAATGGTACCGTGCAGCAGACATGGAGACATCGGCAGCTTACCATTCATAAACTGCCTCCTTTCTTTAGATTTGAAGTTCTCTACACACTTCCTCCCCAAAGACAGTGCCTTTGGCGTCCCATAGTGTCCACACCGAGTGCACCACACCACGGGGACATCCGAGCCCACAACCCAGGACACGTGCAGGCAGTGCCCGAACTTATCGGGAGCCCTCAGGACACTGACAAGGGACGGGGTCAAGGCACGGCAGGTGGTCTTGGTGAGTACAGAGACCTTCCTTAAACAGCACGCGCATCTCCAGTGATCTACGTGCCAGCGAGGGACATGTGAGTTCATGGGCCTACCGAGGCGAGGACGCACACATCCCCTGCCGATCTGAAACAGTTCCGAGGTGGGGGGCCACACGGCCAAGATTTTACCCATGCCGAGGAACAGGGCCCTGTACGATATTAGCGCTGCATTGAGCACATCGATCGTTGACTGATCGAACTCCTGCCTGCGCGCGCCTTGTCCCGCCAGCCAGTCGGCAGCCTTGTCCCCGAGGATGTCCCGCAGGTCGGCCGAGTCGATTGCCGCGCTTTTTCCTCTCGGTGGGCCTTCACTTTGTGTGGAAGCTGACCCAACTCGAGGGGTCTAAACCCTGAGCCTTGGCATCGCTCGGACGTGTGCATCTTTTCTCGGCGAGGACCATCGAAGAGCATCCTGGATCATCGAGCACGAAACGCACGCACATAACCGAAAGCCGCACAGGGAATGGACGTCCGAGCGACGGCAAGGAGCAGCCTGCCTCCAAACGTGACCGCAGTCGTTCTTTTGGGCCCAGGGCACCAACAAGGGGGACGCCTTGCCCCCCCCCCAGAAAGGGCGTTGACGTCAACAACATGCTGGGCCCCGTCGCCCCCGACGCGTGCCTGATGTGCGCGCGCGCGTGCACGACTGCGATGTGCTTTGGCTTGGCACGCCGCCAGATGTGGTGCACCCTTCGGGGTAACGCATGTGACGCCTGCGCATGTCTGGTTTTGTCTATGCCGAGTGTGTTGGGCACCTTCATGTCGTATGCGTCAAGGTTGCGCAGAGCAGTGGCGCGCTGCGACCTTGGGAAGTGGCGCAGCTGACCAACAGCCGAGCTCTGGCCAAGCACGCCTGGCACATTACATAGATCCGTCGGGCCAGGCCACGGCAGACCCCACCCCGTCCTAGCCAAGCACCCTTCACTAGGTCCGAGGCAGGGACCATCTTCATAACGCCGATCCTCGGGGTCGACTTCGAACGGCCCTACCTGCACACCGTCCTTGATGTAGCAAATGGCGTAGATATCAGACGGGGCAGGCACATCGATCCGAGCCAGCCAGCCGCTGGAGAACAGAAGATTGATTGGACCTGCTGTGAGGGCTTGCTGTAAGATGCCATCCGAAACACATCTCCGCTCTAGCTTCTCTCGCACACCTGCATTCAAAACGCCTGTGGAAGACCGTGCCTCCCTTCCCACACCCATGGGGGCACAATGGGTCCACACTGTAACCCCACTTTCTGAGGTTAGTAGCAGTGGGGACGCACCCTCCAAAACCTGCCTGCAGCACTGGACCTGGTTGTGGGTGGGGTGGTGGTTGCTGTTCAGAGTTTTGAAACTGAGCTCCCACCAGGGGCCCTGGCTCAAGAAAGCCTCTGAATCAGGGTTGGGGTGGGCTTCATAAACAGCTCTCGCAACATTCTGGACCCTGGCATTCTTACATTGCTGCTCAACTTGCTTAGCTATGAAAGAAGGGGCTAGCGTGGTGGCATCCAGCAAGTTAATTCTAAGATCTTGAAATTCGGACAGGCCCTCCAGGGACCAACCAACCTCACGACACCACAGGAGAGGGTCACTTATTGGGCCCCGACTCTCTTTAAACCAGAAATTCGTAGCACTGGTTGGATTAAACCTGGCCTGGGCAGCTCTGTACAACTTGGTCAGGCGCTCCACCCCCAGTGCATCAGCATGTAGATGCTGCAGATCACCCCTCGGTGCGGTAGGCATCCACCATTCCGCGCAATATCTCTCAGTAGTAGCTGACGTCACATGCACTGGGTCCTTGACCTTCGACAGTGCCCATCCCAGCTCCATGTTCAATCCACGCATGTTTTGTTTTGCCCACAAAATTTAGATATCTGAGATCTGAGGCAAAAATAATTGTGCTGGGCTGAACGCATTAACCTCCGTACCATACACCACAGTAGGAACAGCATTGGTAGCCGCAAGCCTCGACTGGTGGCTCTTGTTAGTCAGCTTCATGTTGGCCATCGTTCCCCGTTTGGTCGTCATCTTCCTCCAACGTTGTGCTCGAGTGCTGTGGGCCGTAGGGTGGGCCTTGTACTTCCCTCCTCCTCCTCCTCCTCCTCCTCCTCCTTCTCCCCCTTCTCTTGCCCCTCCTCCTCCTCCTCCTCCTCCTCCTCCTCCTCCTCCTCCTCCTCCTCCCCCTCCTCCTCCTTCTCCTCCTCCTCCTTCTCCTCCTCCTCCTCCCCACCTCCTCCCCATCCTCCTCATCCTTCTCCTCCTCCTCACCGCCTTCTCCGCCTCCCCCTCCTCCTCCTCCTCCTCCTCCTCCTCCTCCTCCTTCTCCCCCTTCTCTTGCCCCTCCTCCTCCTCCTCCTCCTCCTCCTCCTCCTCCTCCTCCTCCTCCTTCTCTCAGGGGAGGAAAGATGTCGACGTCGTCGCCCGTCCCTCGACGCTACAGGCGGGATTCGCCCCGAAGCCCTGGCCAGAACGCACCCCGGGAGAGGTCCAGGGAGCGGCGGCATCGGTCGGGCGGACGGCGGCGGGGGGCAGCATACGTGGACCTCAGTGAAAACGCGGGCCCCGAAGACGTACGAACGGTGTAACCATTTCTTCACGTTTCTCTCCCCCCCCCGCTTATCGCCCCGCAGCGGGAGGCAACAGACGTGGGCATCAGTGGTTCTTACGCTGCGAAAGAGCGTGTTCTACCGCTGCTGGCGGAAAACGGAGGGGGGGGTCACTGGGGGGTGCCCAACCCGTCTCCCCCCCTCCTCCCAAACCGGCGGGGGGTCACTACCGGTTAGAACCCCCCCCCGAATTAGTCCATCATGAAAAGGGGGGGGTCACTACCGCTTCGAACCCCCTCACCCCCTCCCGCCTCGCCGCCGACAAAACGATTTCCGCTCCTCGAGACAGTGGGACAGTGGTGTGGATACTGGGACAGTGGTGGGGACGGTGGTGGGGACTGTGGTGTGGGGACAGTGGGACAGTGGTGCGGACAGTGGGACAGTGGTGGGGACGGTGGTGGTGGGGACAGCGGTGAGGGGACAGCGGGACAGTGGTGGGGACAGTGGGAGGGGACGGCAGTGGTGGGGACAGTGGTGAAGGCGGTGGTGACGACGGTGGTGGGACAGTAGTACAGTGGTGAGAGTCGTGGGGACAGTGGGGACAGTGGGACAGTGGTGGGGACTGGGGACAGTGGGATAACACAGTGGGACAGCGGCGGGGACTGAGGACAGTGGGATAGTGGTGGGAACAGTGGGGACAGTGGGACAGTGGTGGGAACCGTGGGGAAAGAGGGGAGAGTGGGACCGTGGTGGGACAATGGTTGGGAGAGTGGGGACAGTGGGACACTGGTGGGGGCACTGGTGGGGACAACGGGGACAATGGTTGGAACAGTGGGGACGGTGGGACAGTTGTGGGGACTGTGGGACAGTAGTGGGGACGGCAGTGCTGGGGACAGTGGTGTGGGGACAGTGGGACAGTGGTGGGGACAGTGGGACAGTGGTGGGGACAGTGGTGGTGGGGACAGCGGTGAGGGCGGTGGCGAGGACGGTGGTGGGACAATGGGACAGAGGTACAGTGGGGACAGTGGTGGGGACAGTGGGGACAGTGGTGGGAACAGTGGGACAGCTCAGTGGGACAGCGGCGGGGACAGTGGGACAGTGGGACAGTGTGGACAGTGGGGACAGTGGGACAGTGGTGGGGACCGTGGGGAAAGTGGGGATAGTGGACCGTGGTGGGAACAGTGGTGGGGACAGTGGGGACAGTGCGACAGTGGTGGGGGCACTGGTGGGGACAGTGGGGACGGTGGTGGGAACAGTGGGGACAGTGGTGGTGGTGGGGACAGTGGTGCTGGGGACAGCAGTGGGGGATGTGGTGCGGACGGTGGTGGGGACCCGGGAGTCGTTTGCCGGCGGTGAGTGGGGGGTGGGGGGTGGGGGTTCGAACCGCTAGTGACCCCCCTCGGTTTTCTGGAGGGGGGGGCGGGGGTTCGAACCGGGAGTGACCCCGCCCAGTTTTCTGGAGGGGGGGGGGGTTCGAACAGGTAGTGACCCCCCCCTGGTTTTCCGAAGGGGGTGTGGGGGGGGGGTAAGAGGGGGGGGGGTTGCCGGCAGGAGGGGGAGGGTCCAGCAGGGGGGGGATTTTCGAAGGGGGGGGGACCCCCGGGGACCCTTGGGTTCCGGAGGAAGAGGGGGAATTTTCCACAGTAAAGCGGCGGTGGACCATGTTCTCTCATGTCAACCGCGGGCTCCGACGGCGTACGAACGGCGTAACCATTCTTCACGTTTCCCCCCCCCCCCCCCGACCGCTTGTTGCCCCCCTCGTCAGCGAACACCCGACGGGATACTCGGCACTTCTTGGCGCCCCCTCAGCGTGCCTCTCCTCCTGCCTCTCCGCTTCCCGCATTTCTCCCCTCTCCTGCGCTTCCAACTCCCGCGGCTCCGGAGGA